CGAGAGTGAACAGGTATACGTTCCTCTTCGTCAGGAACAAAGAATATTGTCCAAAGAAGTTACTCCTTCTTCGCAGAATTCATTTACTTCTGGGAACCTAGGAAAAGGGACTTGTACCTGTTCGCCCCTGTTTTAATTGAAATCTACGCCAAGCGCAAGCTCACATTTTTGTCTAATTTTAATTTATGTATATATCTATTGTTTCGTAATCAAAAGTGTGTATTATTTCCTTGAAAATGTCTTGAGTAATTATAAAAGTTTTTAGAAGGTTTGAGTTAAAACTGTTTTGAAAATATATAAAAAAGAACACACTAATTTTGAAAAGGATGTGTTTAATGTTTTTATGAAAATAAACCAGATTGTGATTCATCCGATGAAAGTAAAAGAGAACACGTTATCCAAAACGGTTGCACTACAATTATTGGGTTGGAGGGAAAGTTCTGTCGTATTTTAAAGAAAATATTTGAATTCATTTATAAAAATATGTGTTTAATATTAATCAATTATATATGCTCCGTTATTTGTTACAACCTGTTGCCATATTCCAGGTAACCTGTAAATTCCTGTTTTGTAGAAGTTCTCATCCATGGAGTTAAAATAGTCAGCAACTGCCTTAGAAACACTTTCAAAAGACTTGAATTTTTTTCCCGTTAGATAATTTTGCAGAGATCTGAACAGTTAATAATCAGAGGGTGCAATGTCAGGTGAATACGGGGGGTGACTAAGGATTTCCCATCCTAACGCATTCAGTTTTTGTTTTGTAGTGTCACCACTGCAGTATGCGGGCGAGCATTATCGTGATGGTCACTATTCCTTTTCTGGACGCTAATGCTGGCCTTTTTTCTTTGATAGCTGCATTCAATTTATCCAGCTGATTGCAGTACAGATCCGCGTTGATGTTTTTTCCATGTTTCAGCAACTCGTAATACACTGGACCTTTCCTGTCCCACCACAAACAAAGCAGTACTTTTCGTTGATGGATACTTGGTTTTGGAACTGTTGCTGATGATGTTCCTGGTTTGCAGTAAGATTTTTTTCTTTTAATATTCTCGTAAAGAATCCACTTTTCATCTCCAGTAACCAGCCTGTCCAAAAACGGCTCCACATTGTGTCTAATCAGATGTGATGAACATATTCTTACACGATCAGACAAATTCTTTTCCGTTAATTCATGTGGAACCCAAACACTTTGCTTTAACACAAACCCAAGAGATTTAATGTGATCTCCAACAGTTGTATGATGAATGCCAAACTCTTCTGCAATTTCTCGACTTGTTAAATGTGGATTATTTTCCAACATGGATCGCAAAACATCATATCGATCTTGGATGGTCGTCCAGATCGAACACTTTCTTTGAGGCTCAGGTCCCCGGAACGAAATTTGCTAAACCATCTTTGACAAGTACGAACATTTACAATATCTTTTCCAAATACCGCACATAAATTTTTACATGCAACAGATGCGTTGCTTCCTTTTTGGAATTCATATAAAATGCACTGAAGTAAATGCACTTTATCTACCGACATGTTTTTCCCTTTAAATATTACAAGTAAATGATGAAGGGTAAAAAGGGGCACCTTTTATATTATACAGCAGCTAAAAAAACAAACAAAAAAAAAAATCCAATTGACTCACTAGCCAGATTTTTTTTTATTTACAAGAAAAATCACCTGCCTATTTAAAATACGACAGAACTTTCCCTCCAAGCCGATACTTAAAAAGTTCGAATAAAAAGATTTGTACTACTCTGTCTTCTTTTTTCAAAGGACTTCATAAATTGAATTACCTAAACGTTGACTCACACAGCGAACAGTTTGTCTTAAGATATTACTTATTACGTAATAATAATAATAAACGAGAGATTAACATAAAGCCTTGAGAGTTTATTCTCTATCACGTGATCTAAATCGCTGCTCATGGTTTTCTCCTCATCAAATATATCAAAACAAAATATAATTACGGCTTCATTAATGCTAGTGAGTTCGTCAGCTTATGTGACTTGTGGCGAAAATGAATTGAACCTTTCTGTTACTGAAACAGACGCCTTTCAAATGCTTCCAAATATTTATCTCATACATATGTAAATAATGAAACTGCGTTGCTTGAAATTAGTGACGCAGTGAGAGGAAGATGAAGAAGCGGTTAGATTTGTATTAAAAAAAGCAGTTGGTGGTGTGATATCCCAGAAAATATAAGAAGTGTTTTTGTTAAGTTCATTTGGAAAAATATTTGATTGCTTAAACAAGTGGTTTTCCTAACCGCATCTGAATAAAAACTATCATATTTAATCTTGCATTTCTTCATTGCTTCATTTAGATTTCTATTGCATACTTTTAACTCAGATTATTAAAATTTTAGTCTTCCATCTGTATACGGCCCACGAGCGGCCGAGCGGTAAAGTCGCTGAACACTGGTAGTTAGGTTCGAGGTTCGAATCCCGCGAACGGGCTGGCTACATGGGCATTTTCGTGGTTTTCCCCATGTGTAACGTAGCTCGGACCCCGTTCGCCGGGGTCTGAGCTACCAGTGTTCAACGACTTTGCCGTTCGGCCTCAAGTGCGCCATAAAATTCCACGAATTTTTGCACTTAATATCATTAATATAATTCTGAGGGAAATTAAATGTACATTCAAAGGATATATATTTGACGAAAGAAAGAATTCCAAGTAAAAATGAGATAATAATATAAAGAAAATTATGCATCACCTTTACAAATAATAATATGCAACTTCCCTTTTGAATTGAAGAATTTGGCAATTCTAAAACTTAAACTGATATATCTAGCAATATTTAAGAAACCGATACTTATTTTCTTCATTGGCCATTCCTAATATTTATTAACTTTACATTATTTACTTTTTATTTGTTTCAAATATAATACTAGTGCACTGCATGTTATCTTTATTTCAATAGATAGTTACAAAAATTAGCTATCTAAATAAACAATATAGCACTGAAACGTATGAAGTTGAATTGATTATCAGTAGCATACAGCGCACAGCAATGTAATGTCATGTAACATTCATTATGGTACTGAACATTTAGAAAGACTTCTGTAAAAGGCTTTTAACGTTATGAGATATGTCGTTCAGAAGATTTTTAACTCAACTTTTTGGATCTGTTATCGACTGAATGAAGAAATGGAAGAATCACAGGAATAAAGAAATTTTGCATTAATATGTAGACCCCCTAATCTCTCCCTACATTTCGATTTTTATTTCTACCTCAAAATATTTTTCATACTTTGATATCTTCCTACTCTTATAATATTTTATGTTCAAAACGAGAAACGTAGAAATTAATACCAAATTTTTGAAAACTGAAAAATGAACCTGAGTTCCCTATTATTTCTATTAAAAGGAAAAATTTAGTTTTCTTATTTCGGCGCTTGTAGACATTATATTTATTTATTTAATGGTTAAAATACCTCTGAAACATTGAAATGTTTTCTGAGTTTTCATAAGGCAATGTTTTTGTTAGCCTAAACGAGCATTACATAAGAAAGCCTATTACTCTCGATACGGTATTTTGTGTCGGTTCACTATAAATATCCATTTCACTTTTCAAATTGTTGCCACCAAATATTATCGCTCTGTAGTATATTTAACGAAATTAAATAATGAAGAATCTGCATGAATGTATGTATGCAGATCAAACATATTGTCAAAAAACAACGGTAGCTAGAGCCATCCAATTTTGAATAGCATAGCGCTGTACCCGAATATGGGAAAATGGAAGCCCGCATTTTTGTTGTTGTCTATTTCACATTTTGTAAACTTTTTAATGAATTTTTGATTAAGAAATTTCAACAATTTCAAAGCGAGCAATGGCAACACTGTGCGAAAAGAAAACAAAACATTTTAATCTCCAGCACGAGAGACTGTCTATCGGAAATTCTAAAGATAGGCCGTTTTTAAATAATTTTAGCCCAAATGCTGTCGAAACGTGTATGTGTGTGTAAATGAAAAAAACGCCCTTTTGGGCATAACAATAAAAACTGGAAGCTTTCAGATTTAATTAAATCTGAACCATTTCATATTTTTTATTTTAATTTTACATTCAAACAAGAGAATGGCTTTTAAAGCTGACTAAACCAAATGAAGAAATATGGTGAGGGAATGCAATGGGCGCTTTGAATACCCACATGGGTTTTATTCACCGTATTTTTTACAATCAAGTCCTTTCGTAGCTTTAGACTGAAATTTAGTTCTTGAATTGCAATGTCTTAGCTACGTAATAGTAGTTAATTATTAGCTACTTTATTAATACATTAGTTACGTAATAGTCCGAAGAAAAAGTATTGTTTCGAAACGGGATATACATATTATTTATATGCTCTAAAGCAAAATGAACAAGCATTTAAGAAAACTATGATGAAACATCATCATTTTCTATTGGAAGAAGATGCGAATATTTTGAAACAAAGGTTTGGTGTCTTGTGTACAAAAGGGTAAAAAATTTTTAAAAAGATAAAATTAAAAGTTTTAAAATTTCATGTTCCATACATTATATAACGTATCTAAACTTTCAATTTTAATATTCCTGGTTAGATAGTACTTTGAATATAAATTTTGTCTACGAATTATCATTTAATCTTTAATTAATAATGCTAAATAGCATTAATTTTTTTATAAATTACTGGATTACTGGACTAATTTTTTTAAGAACTATTACTGGATTTGAAGTGTCTCATAATAATACTTTTATTATTAAAACACAATAACACGCTGAATAAATACTAATTCAGAAGTCAAACAACAAAATCAGCAATCTGTGAAACAATCTGTGAAAATTTTTGAAAATATAACGCTGACTGTGAAAAAATTTTGAAAATATAACGCTGATTTTTGTTGTTTGACTTCTGAATTAATACTTTTATTATTTATTTTTGTTTCACAATAATATGGGATTATTTTAATATAAAATGTTGTACCAGATGGGAATAATGTCTATTAATTAAACCCTGTATATTAAATTAATATTTCTTTTTTTTTTGCAGGATTTGCCTTGAAATAAACGTAAAAGAACTTCCTTCCTTGTGGAATGAAAGCATTCAAACTTACACTACAGCGAGTCTCAATTCTCTACTGAAAGATTTCATACTTTTACTATTCCTGATTACCAAAGATTCTCACTATGTTAGTCAGAGTAGTTATTATTTTTTCAGTGTGTTCGTGGACTTTATGTGTTCTAGCCAAAGAAAAAAATCCATTGGACATGATTGAACCTCAGCCAACAGATTACGAAAATATGACAATTTTAGAAAGATGGCAAAATTTAGAGAAAGGTATGAAACGAGTTGCTAATTCTATGGTGAAACTGATTCTCCCAAAGTTGATGGAAGGCTCAGAGAAAGTAAATTTTACTTCACAATGTATGAGAGACTCGATGCAGTTGATTTCGGGGCTGAAAACTATTAAACCATGGGCACTGAGATGTAAGTTGTGAAAGATCTCTTATTTCTTATTTATTCATTTATGTTATGATAATGAAAATCTTTAAAAAGTAGAATGTATAAAGTTAGTTTAAAGTTTATACAATAAAACTATCTAAAAACGAAAAAGTATAAAATTAATCATAATTAAAACTGCACTAAAAACATACCTCCTTATTGCAAGATTCAGAAGAGTTGGGTGCTTGATATATGTGCATGTCTTCTAATTCAAAATTTCATATATCAAACCTTTCAAACAGAAAATTTCATTTCATTTGGAATACATTTGGATCATTTATCTAAAATACGGATTTTTATTCATGTGATTTATCACCTTCATTTTAAATTTTAGATTTCTCCATTATTGGGCAAAAGGATTAAAATACGGCCCTCGTTATTGATGTATAAAAGTCCTGATTATCGTGATATGCATTTTTTAGAATGTCTTTTACCATTTCTAGGTACGATTTTTGGGTATTTATAGCACCACTCATAGCTTAGAAACGTTCTGCACTGTTTGACCTTCAAAGGTGTTTGTTACGAATAAATCTAAGGAACCTCTCAATTTATCATTACCAAAGTTAACGGGTATAATAAGAAAACTTGAGAATTACGTCACGTCCAAGGTAAGGATGAGCAACAGAATAGACTAAAGAAATAGCACGTAGGGTTATTCAGAAGGCGAGTTGTCTAGTAATTCAAGGGGAAATGAAAATTATCGCCAACGGATATAAGAAATAAATGCCGAACTTGTACTCAGGGGATTTTTTTTAAAAATCAGATTCATTTAACTTCAGAAAGAGGAGTGGTGTGAAATTCAATAAACGGTATAGACATTTATAACAGCAAACAATTTCCTCTTGAAAAAAAAGCAGTAAGAATATATGTGTGTAACAAACAATAAGTACTGCTAGCAGGCTGAACAAAACATGGATAAATATTCCAGTAATATTGCTATTGTTGAGACTAATCTACTTTGTCTGATATCACAGCAAGCATACAAAATTCATCGGGGCAAGGAGGCATAGGTGACAGTACGACTATGCTCGGTTCCGTTCTCAGTTTTGGAGGAAAACACCCCAGCGGGGGATTGGTCCGATTGTCTCCCACCCCTCTTCTCCTACCTCCAATCTCTCGAGGAAACTTTCGATTCACTGCATATTTAGGGTACCCCATGCCGCACAAACACTATTCATTTACAAACATCCATACCTTCTCCGGGGTTCGAACCCGGGACCGTCCTTATGGCAGTCAGCATCACTAACCATTATCCCGGCTGGGCGGTCACCATTTTAATAATCATAAGAAGAATTGTTGGCTTCCTTACATCAGAAATAGGCTCTTGAAACAGTGACAGCAGTACATGAAAACTGAAGTTTAACTTGTCTTCTAGAATTGCATCAGGTCTATGTGCTCATGTTAAGTTGCACATATCTTTAAGAATCGATTACTTTTCTTGTCTCCCTAACATCCTGCCTGAGGCTTCCTATCGCGTAATTTATCTACATGGATGGTTTGTTTGAACTTTTCTGCCGTATTCTGAAGATCTGCTCTCTAGTTATATTCACAATTCCCCGTTTAAAAGTAAAAATTAAATTCATTACAAATATTGCAAATTCAAGATCTTAAGTATGTCTTTCAGTCACTGGAGCGAAATTTATGGTTAGGATTTAAGTCACAGTAATTTGCAGGATAATGCGATTAGAGCAGTGGTCCTCAAACGTTGTCAGCTCAAGTAAACCAAAAAACTATAATTTTTTCTTTGTTTCCCTTTTCGTCTTTTTTATGGAATCGATGCTATCATAAGAAACGTAAATATTACAAAAAGTGAAAATATATCAATATTGTAGAATCGGTATTTATTGCCTAGGAATATGATGTTGTAAACTTACTTCTTAGTTGGCTGTCTAGGGGCTAATAAACTAGTCCAATTTACAAATAACTTGAGTATTTAATTAAACATGAATAGTTGCAACAAACTACAAAATAATTACATGTGTAGAAGGAAACAGGTGATATTTACAGATGAAAGAGAATCGACCGTCTTTTTACATGTGAACATCTTTCAGTCGCATCGTCGTCTTAATGGCGAAATCGTCTGCCTTCTATCATCGGAAAAGTAAAAGATTTATTCTCATAGCTTGTCGCGTCATCCGATTATAATGAATGATGCCATCCCACAACTGCTCGTCCATCCTGATGGAATGCGGCCTCGCATTCTCGTAGCACCACCGTCTACATCTAGGGATCTGAAAAATAAAATAAAAAAAAAAAAAAAAAAAAAAAAAAAAAAAAAAAAAAAAGAGATTTTTAGTTACTATTGAGGGAAAAGTCGTCTTAAATGGTTTATTTCAACCATCTTTTCTCATCATCTTAACATCTTCAGAAATAACGGCTTTATCTCTTCTTCAATGCTCTTTCAGTGTTCGTTCATCTTTAACAGTATATCTGAATACATACATTTCACAAACACGTCTAGATTCGTCTTCGTATTTACGTCTTTTTAAACATCGTCTGAATACGTCTTCTGAATGCGTCTTTTTAGATACCGTCTGGATACGTCTTCTGAATGCGTCTTCTTAGATACCGTCTGGATACGTCTTCTGAATGCGTCTTAGATATCTTCAAGATCCGTCATTCGAATGCGTCTTCTCAAAATCATCTTCTTTAAGCCGTCTTCCTTCATACATTTCATCCTTAGACATCATCTTCAGTCTTCTTTACATTAGTCCACGTCTTTAAAACAATAGTCCATTAGTCAAATCAAGAGAAATTTGTCTAGTCGTGAAAAACGTCTAAATCAGGAATCATCAAAATTGATATTTCATTATGAAAGATTTTCAGTTTTCTTCCTGGATCTTCTGAATCTGCTTTTTCGCTTCTTTTTTCTCACCTTCTTTAATTTCTTTTGTTCCGTCTTTGCTTTCCGTATCAGCGTCGTTGTGATCAGGTTTTCTGACTGACTTCTGCTTTTCAATCTTCTCTTCTTCTTCGTTGGTCTCTGTAGATTCTTCGTCTCCAGCGGCTTCTTCTCCTTCTTTATTGTAAGGTATTTCACTGAAATTGTTCTAGTAGAATTCACATTTGATTCATCATCTTTAGCAACTGATTCTTCTTCGGAAAAATGATTCTCTTCAGAATCTCCTTCTGCAGTGTCGTTTCTCCTCGTTGGCTTCGAAGCTAATTGTATTGTGCTTGAGTTTCCTTTTTGCACTAATTCAAATTCATCTTTAATAGCATCATTTTCGTTTACAGAAGAATCTGCGTCACTCGGGACATCATCAGAATTCACAATAAGGAAATCAATGCCACTTGCTTTAACTGTAGATGAAGTATCCAGTTTGATCACATTCTGTATTGTAACAGGAACTATACTAACAGGATTAGTTTCTGGTTTTGGAAGTAAAAAACCATAATTAACAACTTTTTCAAATCCTTCTTCAGAACCATTTCCATTGCAATAAGCATTTTTCAGCTCTTCAGAATCATTTTCAGATTTCTTGTTTTCTGCGATAAAACAAATATTTGATCTAAATGAAGAACCATCAATTTGGAATTCACCTTCAAATCTTCTCTATAGACTTAATTTTCCCATTGCCAAATTCCCGTTAATTGTAGCTCTGCCGACTTAAGTTCAGGAAGAACCTATCTTTTTATGGCATATCTTCTCCGATTAGTGTTACTTTGACTACCAGTATCTATTTAAAGCATCAATTTGCAAATTACCCAAAATGAACAGTTTTATGCATTTCTTTCTGACAAGTCTGAGTTATTGGAGTAGTACAGTAACAGTTTGGCATCTTGGATATTTTTAGATGATGTTGTTTTTGAACAATCTACGGCTTTGTGTCCAAACAACTTGCATTAAAACACTTAAATCCTTTACTCTTATTGTTACAAAAATTCGACTTTATGGCCTAAACTTCCACCAATTATAACACCTTGGCTCTTTAATCTTACTAGGTACAGCGCGTGTTTTATTTTGTGTGATAGTACTTGAATAACCCTTATTTTTCGTATCTGGAACGCGAATTTTCTCATATATTTTTAATTTCTCTTTGAATTCAGAAATAGTTTTACACCCATACAAAACAATTTTGTTACTACTCTGATCTGGTATCCCATTGATTACATAATCAAGAATTGATGAATCATCAACAGAACCTCGACTGGCTATTTCACGCATGGTAATTAAATATTCGGAAAGTGATTCACCAGGTTTTAAGTGTCGTTTCTGTAACAAATTATGAAGTTGTGCACTGTTTATTTTAGAACCAAATTCAGATAAAAGATTTTCTTTTAATTTGTTCCCATGATATTATACCTTTCAAAGACCTGAATAAATACTTTAGCAGAACCAGTAAGCAATTTTTTAGCAAACACAATTTTCTGTAATTCCGATAACTTAAATAATTTAAAAGATTCTTCTAAATCACCAATGAAGGATTCAACTGGATATGTATCAGTGCCATTAAATTCAGAAACAGTTTCTAAGATATCACGAAAATGTAGGGAAATATTTCTAGGCATTATAATGTTTTCATCCACTGAGTTAATTTATGAGGAGGTGATTCTGACCGAACAGAATTAACATCATAATTCATCATTTTTATCAGAATCATAAACACGTTTCGTTTTCAGGATAACTCATCATCGTCATCACTTTCGGATTTTAAAAAGCTTAAAATCACAAAGACTATTCAATATTAAATCACAGTTTTTATCAGGATTTGAATCATAATTAAGATGTAACAAATTACACACAGAAATAAAATCATTTTGCAGTAAGAGTTTTAAGTAATTCTTTGTTTTGTTTCTTCAATATTAAAATCAGATGGAAAACCGCAAAAGTTTACGCAATCTAGCTCTATTTTTCGATCACCCAACTAGTTCCAAACACAATTTGATGTAAAAGTTTAATTGACTTAGTAGGCCCAGTCTTTAAAGAATTTGAAATTCTAGGAATAGAATTTAAGGTAGTCATCTTAATTCACAGTATCATA